GCAGAAAAAATGTCAAGTACAGAATAATGAAGAAAGATAATTAACCGAGCAGTTAGCACGGCTTACATGTCTCGCCGAAATTCTTGCTGATAAACCAGCCCGGTACGTCGGCTGTTTCATAGTTACCAGACACCCAGAAAAAGTCATCGTCGTGCAAGTCCTTGTCTGGGGTACCAGTCATTATCTTCTCCTTGCCCGGTCTGATTTTTAAATAGTAGGCAAGGCCATCGCCTGTATGCCCGAGGGTATACTGGCGCAGTATCTCGGCTAGTCCTGGGTTGGTTCCTAGCCGGTTGTTCAGTTCGTGGATCCCGTTGATTATTCTATAAGTGTTGGTTGAGACCTGGGTTGGAGCTAGCCCGGTGCGCCGCAAGAATTCACAGATCAGCGGGTTAACCGGGAAGCAGAGGCCCCCTTCTATAATGGACAGCACGGTGAAGGGACATTGGTCTAATCTGCCCCATAGGGTTGTGTCCTCAACGCTGAGCTCTAAATGAACGTCGTCCGGGATACCGTACTCTTCCCGGAACGTGGCCAGGGCAACCGGAGTGTCGACAAGGAAACGGTAGCGCCCCATGTATAGTCGGCTGGTTTAGCTCGGCTGAGGTGGTTTGGCACAGACTGGTATTTGATGGCTGCTCGGTCTTTGAGAGCCTCGGTATTGGTCATTGGTCCCCTTGGACTCTGCAGGAAAATGAGGGTAATTGTAAGTGGAAGCGCGATGGCGCAAAATGAGCTTGACTTTAGCTCGATCAGAAAAAGTGCCAGACCACCTCGGTCGCGAAGGCAAACCAAGGAGCTCGGTCGCTCAAGTGGACCAGATGTCAGCCCGGTCGAGCGCCAAGTCCTCTGCCTACCTCGGTTTCTACTAAGGTTTTGGCAAACTTGTAATTTGCTCGGTCTTAACGTTTTTTGGGATCAAAAGAAGACCTGGAGCCCGGTCCGCCCTAGATCTTCAGGTGTTCATTAATGAAGCTGAAGAACAGCAAGGAGAACAAGGGGCAGGAGAGAGTTTTGGGGAGCTGTACCCTAAAATCTATGGTTTTAGTGCCCTAAAACAAGAAATATCAAATGAAACAACCACAAAAAGATTTGAAGAGCTTACCAGTAGAGGCGAATGCAGATCCTTCAGGCACGAATGCAGAAGGAGGGCAAGAGTGGGAGCTGCTGAGGGCACTGGAGCTCTGGATCGACAAGAATGAAGGAGAGTTAGTAAGAACGAAAAGTGAAGGAGAAGAGACGTATAAATAGAAGTGAGAGACCCAAAAAAATTTTGAATGAGAAGGGACGTGATGGTTGGCTGCTCGAGGCCAACAAACGAGCAACGCGTGTCCCAATTAATGGCGGCGTCAGAGTTAAAGAGACAGGAAGGCGAGATGAGACATCGGCCCAGCAAATCGAGGAATCGAGCACTGGAATTAGTGCGGTTGACGTCTTTCAAACAACAGATCGAGGAAGGGTCTACCCCGGTCGGATCATGTAATCCCGGTCACGCTTTTGCGGACGGAATTAAGGGATAATTGAGAGGGAGATTTTTTGAGCTGGAAATGGGCCATGGTAAGGGCCGGGCAAGTTGAAGGCCGAGCGCGTTTGGGCCAGGATAGCTTTGGGCTTGCACGGAGATGGGGCTGTTCGGCTAAAGCCCCAGACCGAGCTACTTGAACTTGCACAGGTGGGAACCATGCTACTTGCGTTGCTCGGCAAGAAGGCTCGTGCCTTTAGCTCGGCAAGAAGGCCTTTGTTTTACCCGCGTGACCTATTTCGAGCTCGGCTCTACCGGAATGCAACTGAGCTCAGTCGGTATGGAGCTCGGCTAGTGAGCATTCAGGCATACGGCGCAGCACGGTCGTGTGAGGCCGAGGTGATTCCGCCGGTCTGCCGGGCTCCGCTAAGATATCCTGACAATTTGGTTAGGTGGTGATTGCGGGATTTGTGCTGACAGATGGGATAGCAGCACCACGTGTCGAGAGACTAATTGAAGTAGATTTGGGACGCAGAAGGTATATAAGCGTGTCTACGCCCCCCATGCTGAGACAGATGATCATTTGGTAAGATACACTTAGACATTCAACTCTCTTCTCTCTCTCTCTCTCTCTCTATCCCTGAGTGTGTGCTAACTTGACTGTCGGAGGGGTTTTCCGGCCACACACCGCCGGGTAGCTCACCGCCGTTGTGTTCGCAGGTCGATCGGACAGACAGGGAGCTTGGAAGAAAAGAGTACGAGCTCCCCGGAATATTTACTCCCCGTACAAATACATAATTAAATATTAGAGGGCAAAAATGTAACTTCATTGTCTAATCCCATGGGATGAGTTATCCCATGGTTTCTATCCCACCCCCCACGGAGCAAAATTTTTCAAACAAACAATAGACTATTAGTCCAGTGGGACTAATAGTCCAATCTCATATCCTAATCCTTCAAAACAAACGCACCCTAAGGTCATGTTTGATGCACAAAACTAATAGTGAAGTATTAATAATCCTATTAAATTAAATTAGTGTGGTATTCACTATCCAATTTGATTAATATCCATTAGATTAATAATCTCACCCGTACCCCATTACTAATAATCCTACAAATTTCTTGGATTAATTATCTATTGGATTAATAATCCTAAACCAAAATGTTAAAACAAACATAGAATAATTCGACCCACGGATGAATAATCTCAATCCCATGCTCTAATACATCCAATCAAACATATAAATTTACACTTTAAAAATGTAAAGAGAATCATTATAATATCGCCAAAGTATCATCAGAGCACCGCCGAAAATCTCTTAAGAGAGAGGAGCTCTCTGAAACTCACTCTTAGAGAGCTCAGTTGAAGTCACTGACTTCTATTTGTCACCCCTAACCCTTGCAAAACTGCACTGATATATCTAGATGAAATCTATATTATGAGCTTCGTACGGATTCACGATTTTTCCTTCTTCACTTTTCCATATGTTAGAATTTAAAATCGATGCTAATTATAAAAAATAAAAATAAAACAAAAAAAACTAATTTTTTTTGTTATGTGTTTTTCAAAATTTTAATTTTATACTTTGACCCCCATGTTTCATAAGTATAGAGAGAGCGTCTAATTAATTTTATTTATTTTTTAATCTATGGAGGAAATTTTAATTTTCTTTTTTGAAGAGGACGAACTTGTATAATTTGAAAACAGTTGACAGAAAATATTATTATAAAAAAAAAAAAAGTTTTTTTAAAATCATAAGGGTAGACTCGGCCCCTCTTGCTTCACTCTAGGTCCGTCCTTACTCTAAGCCACCACCATTGTCTTGGAATGTTGAGATCAGAGTCATAAGAATGCCTTTTGTTTCTATTTTCATCTGTTTCAACCAACACAAAGGAAGAACACAATATCGAAAATGCTATAGTCAAATTTATGGTACCACCAAATATACACAACCTGCTTTCTAAAAGACCTACAACAAACTAAGAAGGAATAAAAGAAACATACCAAAAAAAAAACACCAAACTTAAGAATGTAATAATTTATATTTAACGAAGAATGGCCCATTAATAATCTACTCCTTTTTTTCCTCTTTTTGCTGACCCCTTTCACCTATGAACTTGTGCATATTCAGCATTGCTTAATTTCGAATCCAATGCTCAGAAGAGTTCGAGCTGATTCCATTGCCTTGTCCTCTCCAGCATCCAATGTCTCCTCACCTTTTAAGTCACCTTGTGTGTCTACTGACCATTGGGTTGTTGCAGATGTCTGGTTCTGGTTCTGGTTCTGGACTGGTTCGGTTTTCTTGGATTGCAAATTGTTCATGGAAGCAGGAGCAGCGGCGGCAACAAGAGGAGCACTTGGAGGACCGTGCCGCTTCTGGCATATCATGATCATGTACTCCCTTGTATGTTATAATCACAGCATTTGTGCTTTCTACAGCCCTCTCAATGTGCTTCCGGACTGGACATCCAGCTGAGGTACATCTGTAGTAGTTCCTGGGGTGAGGATTTCCCTTCACCATTTTCTGCTGATGAGCTTCAGAATGTGCTGAGTAGCATCACTCAAGAAAAGTGGAGACCCAAACACCACTCAAGAAAATCAACTCCTCTCTCTATCCCTTTTTTTTTTTCTTGTGACCCACACTCACACACACACCCACGGGACAAACAGACTCACTCTCTTTCATCAAAATATGCTTGTCGAAATAGTACTTTAATAAAAATGTGGCAGACACTGACCACGCACATGGCCACACACTCACACATGCACCTCCTCTTTCATCATTTCTCCCACATTTCTTTTACCCTTTCCCATCATCTCTTTTACACTTTTCTTCTGCCAATCGGTTCCCCATTAATTTTATAATTTCATTTATTTTATCACATATCTATTTAAACATAAAAAAAAAAAAAAAAAAAAAAAAACAAAAAAACAATCATAAACCAAACTCATTTTATTCATATCGGGCCTCACCCCGATCCCCATTTTACACACAAAAAAAAAAAACAAAAAAAAAAAAAACAAAAAAATTCAACAAACCACCCACATCCCACAGGTGGATTTCTTCTCTACTCTCCGCTCTCTTTCTTCTTGCCTCCGTCCTGAGCGGCCCTTGACGGTACTGCCTCCGTGCTTCCTCGACCACCAAGCCAGTTGCCTCCTCCCTGCTTCCTCCACTCCGC